GTTAGGTATTGAGATGAGTTTTTAAAATAAAGATTTTAAAAGAAGTTTTGCACAATCGCAAGATGACAAGCGGAGGGGCCAAGATTGGCACATTGAGGACAGTAAGCAGACGCTTCTTAAAAGAATTTATGGTGCTGGTTGGAAGAGACATGTTTGTCTATTTTACTACTTTTATTCGCTTTTACACATGATAGTTGCGATTCTGCAGAAGTCTCTTTTTTGGACTATAAAGGAGTACTATAAATGACTTTAGCAAATTCATGAATTCTAAGGAGGGAAGGGGTAAGAAGGAGAAAAAAAAATAGGAGATTCTGTTTCTTTCATTTAGCATCGTGACACAAAAAAAAGACACTCCATATGTGCATGATTTAAGAAGAGTTTTCTACTTTAAATCTGTCCTTACCCTACCCAACACAGCGCCATGGAAAAGCATATTGCTTCTATCTGAACAGCACTAAGGGATGTTGGACTTATTACACAGCTCAAATCCTATTTATTCTCTCTGGGCCCGTATCCTCCCCACTCTACCCACTGCCTCTGCGCACCTGAGGATGGAATGAGTTCTGGAGAGAACTTCTCCACCAGATATGGCTTTAATGTCTTCTTGCCTTTTAAGTAGGAAGCTGACAGAGTTTGGAAATTGCCAGGTAAGAAAATTCTCACTTTGGGTGTTCCTTCTTTTTCTCCTTAGGATGTTTGAAGAGAGCATTCCATATCTTGTTTGACTATCATGTGGACCACAGATCTGACAGTCCATCAGAATGAATTACCCAAAATGCATTACACAAACTGTCTTCCTGGCGGCCAAGCTTCCCCATGAGGTGGACTTCGTGCAGCCAAGGAGGGGTTGGTAAAGCGAGTGAGTGCTCAGTGTGCTTGCTCTTTGAAAGCGTGTGGGCAGAGCAGTGAATAGGGAGCCAGGGTTCTCCATTCATTTATTCTCTCAACAAATATTTATTGAGCAACTCCTACATGCCAAACACTTTTTCTAGCAGTCGTAACTCCAAAAATCAACAAAATCCCTGTGTTTTCTAGTGGGGCAGGTAGATGAGAAATACTATATCCTCCCCCGCCCCCTCCACACACACACATTAGATACCTTGTTATATAGTGATGGGTGCTGAAGAGAAGACAAAGCAGGGAAGGGAGATTGGATGCGTGTAAGCATGAGAGTCCACGTGTTTGTGAATTGTTGCAGGTAATACATAGGGTGACCACAGAAGGCATTACTAAGAAGATGATTTTTTGAGTAAGAACCTGAAGGAAGTGAGGAAAGGAGACAAAAGATTTCTGAGGCTGGAGGATTCTAAGCAGAGGAAATAGCAGGTGCAAAGGCCCTGGGGCAGGATAGTACCTGGCCAGGTGGAAGAATAGGGGGGAGGCCAGTGTGCCTAGAGAAAAGTAAGCTGGGGGTGAAACGTAAGAGAAGAGGTTGGCGCGGCCACAACAGGAGTCAGATCATTTATGGTACAGATAAGGACTTTGGTTCTTACCCTTAGGGAGATGGTAGCTACCGAAAGGTTTTGAATGGAGGAGGGGCCTGATCTCCATTTTAAGTGGACTATGTCGAGAATAAATAGGAGGGGGAAAGGGCAAAAGCAGAGAGATAAGTTAGAAGACAAGTGCAACAATGCGACTGAATTTGTCAGGGAAATGAGTGGCAGTTTATAGGGTGTTTAAGGTCTGTAACATATCCTTTACACACTGGGTTCAACTACCAGAGCCAAAAATTGCCTAAGCACTTCTCTGTTTACCCAGAATTAGGCTGGCACAGAAAAGCAGGTGGAAAATCATTCCAAGTACAAGTGCACAAAATGGCGAGCTTCCCCTCTTCTTGGCACAGGTCTTCCGTAAAGAATTCTTAGGTTTACTTTGTTGGACATTTGTGGTTCTTTCCTGGAACTGCTTTAAAAAAAAACCCCGCAGCCTGCATTTCCTTTCTCACTTTCTTACTAAAACAGCAATTGACATTTATTTAGGAGCTTTGCCCATTCTAACAATTAAAGTTCATAGGAAATTAAACAACCCTCTCATATACTAGATTAGGTCCTGGAATAGAAAATAGGCATTAGTAAAAACATTTAACCTTGGTGAAATCCGAATAAAGTCTGTGCTTTAGGTAATCGTATTTTACCAATGTTAATTACTAGTTCCAATGTACAAACATATGATGTTAACATTAGAAGAAGTGAGGTGAAGGGTATATGTGAACTTCCTGCACTATCTTTGCAACTTTTCTGTAGGTTTATTAAAAATAATTATTATTTTAAAAAGCCCTCTCAAAGGGAAAAGAAAACACAAGAGTAAAAAAAAAGTGAAAGAAACTTTTTCAGAGATCATTTAGTAATTTTTGTCCACAATTAAACAGAAGGTGTTATACCCAGTGTATAGTTAGGGAACATTCTTTCTTTTTCATTATTTCATTGAGGTTAAGCTGCATTTCAAACGCTTCACTTACCTCCTGAATTAAAGGCATATGTATTACATTCACTCTTAGGGATCTATTTTGCTTAGAAAATAGATATTTTTCAAAAACGATTTACCAGTGAAAACCCTTGTCACTTGTTCATTTCCTTTCTTTCTGCCTCCCTCCAATCCCTACCTTCACTCTTCATTCTTGCTCTGCAGCATGCCTTCACTACACAAATGCCACTGCACGCGATGGTCCTTGACCTAGACCCCTATTTTCTTCTTTCCTTGAACCTAAATATGTCCTTTCTTTGTGTGCTGTTCTGAAGCACCGAGGAAAGAAATTTGCCATCTTGTTAAAAGAAAAAATCTGATCTTCTCAATGTCTGATTGTTTAGACCAGGAATGATGAATGCAAATAGTCCCTCCGGCCACACAGGCCTTGTAAAAGGTGTGAGGCAGTCTAGAGTGATGGGTGAAAATACTCTGGCATAGCCTACTTGGCCCTGAGATGGGGTCTTATTTTGATTATTCCTGGGAAGTTGTGCCTTCTAGAAGCTCAATGGAAGCTTGAATCTATTTCCAAGCACAATGCTTCGGAAATACCCGTTATAGTTTAGTCATGTAATGTGGGAAAATGTGGCCAACTGCATGCAGTTTGAAGTAGTAAGCAGGTAGGAATAAACATTTTTGTTTCTATATCAGGTGGAGCAAAGATTGATGAAAGTTTAATGCAGCTGCAAATCACACAATCATACTGTAAAGTCTTCAGGAGTATTTCTTGGTCACTACGGCAGGACTGCATTTAAATTATCACAGCAAGATGACAGGCGTGACTTTAACCATAAAGCTCTAGGAAGGAACTCAGCTGCTTACTGGGTAACAAATTCCTATGTCTTATGATGCATTAGCCTAAGAAAGTTCTTTCTAGAGGGTACTTTCAATTTCCACTGTTGTAAATTAAGCCCACGATAAATAGCTAAAGTGAATACCGGCAGATTAATATTACTAATGTTCCAAGGAAACTCTAATGAAATGTTTAAGATGCAAAGGATTAGGCCAAATTACTAACTGATTTAAGCAGCCAGTATTAGGGCCACGTGCACAATCAAAAGACATTAAGAGCCCAGCCGGCGTGGCTTGGTGGTTGAGTGTCAGGACACATGCCAGGCTCAATACCCAGTGTGAGGTGTGCAGGAGGCAGCCAATCAATGATTCTCTCTCATCATTGGTGTTTCTATCTCTCCCTTCCTCTCTGAAATCAATAAAAATATATTATAAAAAAAATTAGGAGATGGAGCATGTGGAGATGGCCTCCACTCCTTCATGTCTGGGGATCTGACAGGTAAAGAATGACATCTTTCTGGACTCTCTCAGCAAAACAAACAGCCCACATGTAACTTGCTGAATACATTTTCTACAGGAGCTGGGACACTCCTCAATACCGGGGCCTCTCCTACGATGCCCCAGCCACCTGTTTCAGAGCTCGACCAAGCCACAGACATTAACCAGACAAAGACATGCCCTCCCCACACCACCAAACCATCAAGGACAGTGCTGAAAAGGTTCACGTGCAACTGTCAACTCCTGCCTTCGGAAAGCATCTCCGCCAGCCTGCACTTCCCCCATAACCTTCGGCTAAAAGTAGATTAGGCTGCTAGGATAAATCCACCCTATCCAATGTCAGTTCTTGCTTTACACACTCTATTCCATGGGGAAAAGGCTATAGTCACAGGATGGAATAGAAGTGAACCAGCACAATAGCCCTTTTATGCCCAAAGATGGATATTTAAAGCGTTCGGAGGTGGAAAGGTTAGTGCTTATTTAAGAAACAAACGGGGCTCCCGCGCATGTCACAGTTCCGGGGTATAAGGGAAATGCATTTCTTCACGATTCTGCAGAGCACAGCCGGGGTAGGAAAAAAGCCAAGCCCTTCTGTCATCTTGTCCTTGCTTATACAGACGGGAGCAAGGCTGAGCGTGGGGGACTGTGAGGGATGTTATCACGGACATCAGGTCACCCTTATCGATGCAGGAGCATGACAGGCATGTTCATTCTCTACAAGCTCTCATGGTCATCTCACTAACCTCAAATAAAAATATTTTTCAGGTATATGAAAAATTCACTTGGGGGGTCAACAGTGGCCAAGAATTTTTAGGTGGAGCTATAGGGGCTGAGGGCTGAATGCTCACCCCTCGGAATTTCTAAAAAGGTTGAACATTGCCCTAACCGGTTTGGCTCAGTGGATAGAGCATTGGCCTGCGGATTGAAGGGTCCCAGGTTCGATTCTGGTCAAGGGCATGTGCCTTGGTTGTGGGCACATCCCCAGTGGTGGGTGTGCAGGAGGCAGCTGATCGATGTTTCTCTCATTGGTGTTTCTAGCTCTCTATCCCTCTCCCTTCCTCTCTGTAAAAAATCAATAAAATATATATTTTTTAAAAAGGTTGAATATTCATCTAGCCAAGGTGACTTAAGCTAATGTGACTTTCCTGCTGGGCAAAGGAGTGAGGGTTTCAGCAGCCCCTCCCACCTCCTGAGGCTGGGAGAGGACGCACTAAACCAAGAGCAGGGTTCACGCAGGCGCTCCTCACCTCTCCCCAGGCAGCAGGTGGGGGCTCCACGGGAGGGTAGTACTTGGGTACATCCCAGGCCACAGCCGCCATGAACCACTTGAAGTCCTTGCACTTGAGCTGTTTGCGCAACTCCTTCTGGGCGGAGATGTCCCCCGTGGAGAGGTGCCTGTACTCCGGGCGGCGCTGGTAAATGTACTCGGCAAATTCGTCCATCCAGGTCTCCGCCACCCGCTTCAGGTTCTGTGCAGCAGAAAAGATGGTCATTTATTGGTCTATGCACTCAAAGGCTGAGCTCAGTTGCACTAGAAGTTGAAGAGAGAAAAGGGAAAGAAATCAGACAGCCTCAGGCAGCTCCGGTTGGTGTCTTATTAACAATGCGTTTTCATAACTGCATGGGGTGTGATGTGATTAGCCCAAGGCTTTGCATACATTCCCGCTCTGGCATGGGGGTCAGTTGCCAATCAGATAATTCATTGGAGCCAGCAAAAATTCAGTTTACAATTGTATCAACTTTCTCATCCCTCCCGTTACTTCATAATTATAAAAATTCTTTATTTTTCACATAGAACAAAGGCAGGTGAAACTGGAGATAATAAAGTTTCTCTTAGGCATCACTTTGCTTAAAGCATTTCAAGGAACAGTCAGAGATTTTGCTTAGAAGGAGGACAAACAAGCTGATAACCACTATAGAGAGAAGGCAGCATCGCTCAATGCAAGGCCAGGTGTCTGATGATATTTTATGTGTGACACTGATGCCAGGCAGAATCTAGTAAATTACTGCACAATGAAGCCGGGCAAAGGGAAGCGCCAAGTACCTACTCTTCTTCATTGGGGTGAAGGAAGGTTGATGGCGGGGAAATAAGCACCCCGTGTAGGGGCGGGAGTGTGTGTGCGATCAGGGTAAGAAGCTCAGCCCTTTAGTCAGTTTTGAGATTGAGCGAGTTATTTGATTCCAGGCCTCAGATTCCTCACTTAAAGAAAGTACATAGAGTAAGCTGCACCTACATCATGGGAGTGGTCGTAGGATTAAATAAAGTAACCTGTAAAGTGCTCAGAATAGTACCTGGCACACAGTAGGTATTATGAATAGTAATCCGAGAGCCTGGGTACTGGGCGTGGCCACAGCTGAACTGCGCTGTTCCTGTGTCTGTGGGAAGGGCGTTAGCTGAGATGAGATGCTCTCTGCCATTCCTTCAGCTCTATGATGCTACGTGGCAGAGAAAGCAACCGCGTTGTCTTGAAGAGATGCTCCAGCTTGCAGCACAGGCTGGTGTCCCATAGGCTATGGTTCTCTTTGTTTTGTGTTCAAATTCCTTCACTTAAGTATCCAGTTGGTGTGAACATTGACCCTTTCCAGGTTTTCATTTGCATTAGAAGATAAAATGAACAGAATAGCTGGGAACTTTAAGAAGATCCAGACACGTGTAAAAGTAAAGTAAAAACTAGTGATATTTTGTGCTAGCTGGTTTGGCTCAGTGGATAGAGTGTTGGCCTGTGGACCAAAGAGTCCCTGGTTCGATTCTGGTCAAGGGCACTTACCACGGTTGCAGACTCTTCCCAAGCCCGGGCCCCAGGGGTGTGTGTGCTGGAGGCAACAAATCTATGTGTTTCTCTCACATTGATGTTTCTCTCTGTCTTTCCCTCTCTCTTCCACTCTCTCTAAAAGGTCAATGGAAAAATATCCTTGGGTGAGGATTAACAAAAACAAACAAATAAAACAAACAAACAAAACTAGTGATATTTAGGAAAATCACTTTATCTTAAAAATTGTTACAAAATTCTGATTAAGGCCTGGAACTATGCCCAGGGGTCTGCTGGATTTGGAGACACTGTCTTCAAATATTTTATTACTAATGGGATCATTTACTTTTCTTGTTCTGTCCTGCCAACTCCACATTCAGCATCTCCCTGGGCCTCTCCCCCATCTGACCTCCTCGCCCCCTCATGGATTCCTTGGTTAGTTATGGCCAATGGTGGTCACAAAGTAGGGCTCAATTAATACAGCAAGATGCAGAAAAAAGACAATGCTACAAAGACTACTCTGATTTCTTGGTTGCCTCTGTGTCCCTTTTTTTCTAATATTCCTGCATCAAAAGTATAAGACTTGTTCTTCAATGAATTATTTGCCATTGTTGTGCTGCCTACCATCCCATTGGCATTGCCTTGTCTATAACACTTCCCACTCCCCTGCTTATACACCGTCCATGTGAATGGCCAAATAATATCATTCTGAAGTCATTATTCTGGAAATAACAATACTTCTGCACAGAAAAACTAACCACAAATAAAATGAAAAGGAAGCCAACTGAATGGGAGAACTATTTGACAATGATACATCTAATAAGGGGTAATTTCTAAGATATATAAAGAATTCATACAACTTAACAAAAGTAAGACAAAGAATCCAATTTAAAAAATGGGCAAAGGACCTAAATAGACATAAAAATGGCCAAGGGACATGAAAAAATGCTCAAAGTCACTCATCATCAGAGAGATGCAAGTTAAAATGCCAATGAGGCATCACCTCACACCTGTCAGAATGGCTACCATCAACAAATCAACAAATGGCAAATGCTGGCAAGGATATGAAAAAAGGGAACCCTAGTTCACTGCTGGTGGGAATGCAGACTGGTGCAGCCACTTTGCAAAACAGTATGCATTTTACTCAGAAAAATTAAATATGGGACTGTCATTTGACCCAGTGATCCTACTTCTAGAAATATATACTAAGAAATCAGAAACACCAATCAGAAAGAATATATGCACCCCAATGTGCATAATAGCACAATTTATAATAGCTAAGGTCTGGAAATAGCCCAAGTGCCCATTAGTAGATGAGTGCATAAAAAAGCTGTGGTACATTTACATCATGGAATACTATGCAGTTGTAAAAAATAACAGCATGGAGGGACCTGGAGAATATTATGTTAAGTGAAACAAGCCAGTCATAGAAAGACAAGTATCACATGATCTCACTCATATGTGGAATCTAATGAACAAAATAAACTAATAAACAAAATAGATTCAGAGACATAGAAGCATGGAACAGATTGACAAATCTCAGAGGGAAGGTGTGGGTGGGTGTGGATGGGTGAGGAGAGATTAACAAAAGAACTTATATGCATAACCCATGGACACAGACAATTATGTGGTGAAGGCCTGGGGGGAGGAAGATGTGGGGTGGAGGGGGTCAAAGGGAAAAAATGGGGGATTATGTAAAACTTTCAACAATAAACATCAATGAAAACACACACACATATCTAAAAAAAACCCCCAATACACTATGTTAATTTGCCGCTGTTATCATGAATCAGCACTTTGTTTTTGGGAGAACATTGGAACCACAGCTGAGAAATATTACAAGCAGTTACAAGAAGAGTTTCCTGGGTCTTTTCTTGATTGTAGAATAAAGTCATCCACTCCAGGAAATAGGATAGTCATATACACATTTGAGTTCACTGGCATCTTTACATAGGAACACATATACACACATTCAAATATATGGAGGCAACAGGGTAGGGGCAAAGCTATATTCCTCACTTAAACATTCATAGCTGTGTACACATTTAAAGAATCATGCAACTGAGACATCCCAATAATATCTCTTGCTAGAGCTGGTAAAAATCCTATATAATAAAAGACTAATATTCTAAGTGTCTGGTCGTCCGTTCAACCAATCAAAGTGCAATATGCTAATGATATGCTAAGGCCGCTCAACTACTCACTATGATGCGCACTGACCACCAGGGGAAGATGCTTCGACTGGTAGGTTAGCTTGCTGCTGAGGTCCGGCCAATTGGGACTGAGCGAGGAGAGGGCCTAAGCCGTCAGTCAGACATCCCCTGAGGGTTCCTGAACTGTGTTTCTTTAACCATAGTTTCTGCTGCTTCAATGCCCTTCTCCCTCCTGTTCCTCTAATTGCCACCACTCTGAAACTCTCTCCTTAGTACTCCCAATTAGAGTTGCCAGATGAAATGTGCGGCACATAGTCAAAGTTGAATTTCCAATGAACAACAAATAATTATTAACTATAAGTATACTTAATACATGTATTACTATCCTCTGTGTTAAATCAATTAAGCAAGCAGGCCTCTAGATGGAGGTGGCTAATACCATGGCGGCATACCTACACAATCCAAAATCTAAGCCTGCAAATGTCTCAAAATCAAAACACTCATGACAACCAATCACAAACAGCCAAGTAGGCGTAGCCAAGCAAATAATTTCTTTTCTTTACTTAACTTTAAAGTTTAAATAAACTTTAAACATTTTAAATATGCCTCAGTTGATCTTTTAACACATGGCACATACTTACACTGAAAAAATTATTTGCTTATCTGAAATTCAAATTTAGCTGGGTGTCCTATATTTTTGTTTGCTAAACCTGGCAACCCTATTTCCGATATACATAAAATGGATAGAATGTGTGCTCCATGAATGTGTTTGACTGTATATGTAGAATCTGGCATATTTTGTTGCTGTTGCCAATACATAGTGAATTTTTTCTTCTGTGGAAATTATTCCAGGGAAGTTTCAAGCGCTCTGCAGAGAAGTTGGCTAAAACACACAGTTGATCTAAATATGCTGCCCACAATCCCACTGCCTTTCTGTTGCTCCCTGGTGGGACCCTGCTGGCCCCCTATCAGTGAAGCAAGCAGGGAAGCAGCCGTATAGTTTAAGATAACAGCAGTGCTAAGTGGTAGCTGGAGGCCAGGGCTCAGCATGGCTAGAGGGGACAATGTAGGGCTTACTGTTAACATCAGTCTGAAAATAAGGTGAAGGCTTTCTGTCTCTGCACATCTGGGCTGGATTCCATTCAGGCCCTGAGTGTATGTGGACAAAGGAGATTGGAGGAGAGGGTCCAATCCCATTCAAGATGAATCCAGGAAGTTTTGACCTGCTAGGGTTATTCTCAGCATGGAAGTCATGGAAGTTTGAGAAAGATAGGTGCTGGAGCTGAAGAATACATTTTTTTTTTTTTTTGTATAGAAAGCAAATGAAGGATTTCTCTATTTTTTAAAAGCAGCAGACCGTCATAAATGAAATAAAAACTGTTATTCTGAGCACCTTTTATGCATAAGACATTGATAACATCATCTATTTTTATATCACCCTTCTGTGCTTTCATGCATATCACAAATATTCCCCTATTGAACCGAAACTGATATTAAACTCTCCTTTCTTTGTGTTGCCCAAATATTTATTAACACAATTTAACACATTCAGCTTTATATTAGAAG